TTCCAGTGTGTGCATGCACAGAGTTGCCAGATGAAGGGAACAGTTAAAGAACAGGGGTTGACTTGGGAGTAAGGCAACAGGTGGACAATGAATGGTCTCTCCCAGAGGAAATAAAAGAGGAGCGAAAGGGGAATGGAGTTTGCAGGAGGTTTGAGGTTTATTGGGATTTATATGCCGCCCTTTTCCCTGAGGGGACTCAGGGCGGCTTACAACCACAGGGGGGGGGGGAAGTGCAAGGTCAAAACAAACACTTTGTGAACAAAAGAAAAATAATAAAACACAACTTTCATTCAGCAATCAAACACTCGGGCGGGTAATTGGAAGCCTATCCCCAGGCCTGCTGGGAGAGCCAGATCTTGAGGGCTGCGCGGAAGGTCTGGATCGTGAATCATTCCTTGATTAGTTTGCTTAATTGGCCTCTGACTCTCCGAAGAAATGGAAGGTCATACTTGTCAATGATTTGGTTATGTTCAGTTTGACAGAAAGGTTTCAGTTGGACAAAAGAAGTTTTGATTTTATAAATGAGAATACTGACTTTGACTTGGATCTGTGTACTGATGATGGACGGGTTTTGCTATCATATGTAAGTTTTTGCTAAAAATGAGTACAGAAGATGTCAAGGTCTGTATGATAAAATGAGCAAAGAATTCTGACTATATGCCTAATCAAATATGTGAAGGGTTGAAATTTACATTGAATTAAAATTTGGAAGACATTTTTATAACATGATGTATCATTAGTATTTAACATCTGATAAATTGTCAAAGATCTGTAAGGGAGCAACAAATATAAGTTGGAATTTAACTAATATGTTTAATGTTCTATCAGATTCATATTCCATCATCTTTGATTGATATTGACTTTGTTTCTCTATTTCAGGAGTCTCCAACCTTGGCAACTTTAAGCCTGGCAGACTTCAACTGGCTGGGGAATTCTGGGAGTTGAATTCTGGGAGTTGAATTCTGGGAGTTGAAGTCCACCAGGCTTAAAATTGCCAAGGTTGGAAACCCCTGCTCTATATGACAGCCACAAGACTTTTATATGTACAGAGATAGAAAGATTTACAAATTCCTTCAATAGGACAATGGACGTTGAAGCTAATGGAATTGGCTGAGATGATGAAGCTACTCTGATTAAAGAAAAGGTTTTGTCTAAATTTGTTTTTTCTTGGAAACCACTGTTGGGAGTTTTTGCTAGAAACTGAGAAAAAAGAAACATTTAATTCTGTAATTTGACAATTGGAACTCTCTATGATTATAGAAATACTGTGCATTATTTTTGATGTTAAAATAAGAGATTAATGAATTTTATATCTGTATCTGATCAAAGAAAATTGGAAGCTATTTTTTTCTCCTTTTCCTCTTTTTTTTTTTGCACTACTGGTTTGCTTTTTCTTTAACCTCTCCTTTCCCTAACCTGCATTTTTTTCTCTTTTTTGTATTTTATCCTATGCTGAAACTTAGTATTTTTTTAAAAAAGAAATGTATCATGGTGATTTCTATAAATTTTGAATTTCAGTCTTCACCAACTTGGAACCATGAAAACTCCTCCAACATGAAACGGTCCTTACTGAACACTTTAATGTAACTTCATGGCAAGGATACTTTAAAAAAAAAACAAATAACCTATGTTAATTAATTCAAATCACTAAGCATAAGACATTGCAAAAATTTCCTCTTAGATCAATCTTCTGGTAAGCTATGGAAAAGAGGATCTACCAGGCTCAGTGAGCTAAACAGATATAAACTTTGTCAATGAAGAATGATAGACATTGAGACAAAGTAGTTTTCTCTACTGTGCATTTGTGTTCATTGCTAAATTTTAATTAACACAGCATATAGTGCTGCAAGAATGAGTAGAACTTACTGCCCCTGACTCATATGCCAGAGTCCAGCTGCCCTACAGAAGATTCTCCAGAATTCTCATTCATTCATTTCAACCCTCTGATCTGGGATGCTGCATTCCATTCTTTGTTTTATTCCTCTTTGGAATCTCGTTTCTCTTTCTGAATATTAAATATCAGACAATCCGCCAGTACACATGCCAAAATGTATTCATTACAAAGTCATAATAGCTAAAATAGCTTCACAAGAAGGTCAAAAGCTGGTACATGGTGCAATAATTTTTTAAAAAATGCTGAGAGATTTTAGGGGGGTACATTTAGACTTTGGAGAATAGACTTAAATCGATTAATGGGACTTAAGTTAGTTGAGCTCCAATTCTTATTTTTTAAGCAATATATTGTATATTATCTGGCCAATTATTTTGAAATATTCTCAACAGAGCTTATGGGAGCATGACTGATAAAATATTTTTATTTGCTATATATTTAGGAAGAAAGTTGGACACTAGCTTAGGTGAGAGAAAATCCTTTAGACCAGGGATGTCAAACTCAAGGACTGGGGGCCAGATCTGGCCCACGGGTGCTTCGAGCAGTGAAAATGGAACTGGGGGGGGGCGCATGCAGCCCTCCCGAGCTCCTTGCTGGCAGTGGGTTGCAGGAGGCCGTTGCAGCCGAAAATGGAACTTGAGAGCCCACTTTCCCTGGCAGAGGAACCGCAGGTGCCAACATGAATGATGTTAAACAGGCCATGCCCACACTGGCCATGCCCACCCTGGCCCCCTGAGGTCAAACACAACCCTGATTTGGCCCTCAATGAAATCCATTTTGACACCCTTGTTTTAGACATTCAATTATATTTTACAGAGAAGAACCAGCATTCAATCATGGTTTCTTGGAATAATTCTGTCTAACTCTACCTCAAAAGAAGAGCTGGGTCTAGAGAATTGATTGCAAATTTAGTTGAAAAATGGCAATTGAGTTTTGCCCCATTTTATTACCTTCCTTGCGATAGTTAAGTGAATCACTGCAGTTGTTAAGTTAGAAACATGGTTATTAAGTAAATCTTACTTTTCCATGGACTTTGATTGTCAGAAGGTTGCAAAAAGTGATCACATGGCCCCAGACACTGCAACCGTCATTTATACAAGCCAGTTGCCAAGCGTCTGAATTTTGTGGTGACTGCAGGGATGTTTAAGGTGACCAGACGTCCTGCTTTTGGCAGGACAGTCCCTATTTTTAATAATTTGTCCCGCGTCCCGTGGCGTTTTCAAAAAGTCCCGATTTTTCACGTGGCCGCCCACGTGGCAAGACGTCAGAAAAAGCCAAAGGAAGCTCCTGCCTCCTTTCAGGATAGCTCGGAAAAGCTCGGGTTGGTTCCGATTGGGTTCGGGTCTTCCGGAAAAATGCTCGGCTAGCATCGGGTGTTTCATCAGCGTCGGCTACGGGGTGGGAGGTAGAGGGGTGTTTCCGTCTTTCGGCAAATCCCGGACAGGCTCGGCAGGTCCGCCCAGATTTGCGATTGGCCGGGAGAAGTCTGGCTTGGTCTGGATGAGTGGTGGAGTGGCGGCATCCAGGCTCGGCGCAATGGCATCCCCATCACGGAGGCTGCAGACCAAGCCAGTCATCACCTGCCTGAAGAGCGTCCTCCTCATCTACACCTTCGTCTTCTGGGCAAGGAAGGGTCTAAAGGAACAATGGGAGGCAGGGAAGAGGGGTCCCTCACCCTGGACACGCAGAGGTATTCAAACTTGGGCACTTTAAAACTTGTGGACTTCAACTCCCAGCATTCTCAAGCCCAAGTTTGAAGACTTTGCGTGTCCAGGGGGGAGGGGCTCCTCTTCCCCGCCCCCCATTGTTCCTTTAGACCCTTCCTCACCCAGAAGACGAAGGTGTAGATGAGGAGGACGCTCTTCAGGCAGGTGATGACCGGCTTGGTCTGCAGCCTCCGCGATGGGGATGCCATTGCGCCGAGCCTGGATGCCGCCACTCGTC